AAAAAAAAAAAAAAAAAAAAAAAAAAAAAAAAAAAAAAAAAGTAAGGTATCACAGCCTGTCATAATGCCACTAAAATGAATTTCTTTAATGTGGAGAGATACGTTCAATAGGTTTGGAAATGTTCTCACCACAGCTGTACACCGAAGTTGAAAAAAAGCGTTCGAGCACGGGCTGTATTTTAATCTGTAAGGAGAGGCGACTGCCTGCAAAGTAACCCTGCTGCGTGTCTCAGTAGCCTCTGCCTCATCTTTGTGCTGTGGCTAAGCCCATTTGCTTCTTATCTTCCTTTCTTCTCCCCAAACATATTGCACGTTTTTTTTTCTTCCCAAATGAAAATCTTAATATAGGTGTCATTTACATTGCTTGTTCTTTTGCCCTTGAACACCATAAAACAAACAACAGCGCTGGCTGAATACGTGGCACAAAATACTTGTTAATTACGAAGATTTTTGTTGCGTTATTCTGGAACTGCCTCAGTTTGAGGCATGCCTGCATTAGTCTGATTGCTGTTCGTTTTCCACTTTGTGTCAGACAGGGAGCTGTTTGTTTTGCAGCCTGATCTGGTTGTACAGCCACAGGTAGATCACATCTGAATTGTGCGTTCATGATTGTCCTCCCCTACAGATAATCAATTAGTATGCAGTGTAGTCATTTTATTTATTGTGCTCTCTATGCTGGCATAAAGGACAAACTAAGAGATGCTTAGGGGTGGAATACCACACCTGTGAGGGCAGCCTAAGAGAGCTGGGGCTGCTCAGGCTGGAAAAGAGAAGGCTGTGAGGTGACCTGATAGTGGCCTTTCATTATCTAAAGGGGAGCTACAGACTCTTTATCAGGGTCTGTGGTGATAGAATAAGGGGAAATGGTTTCAAGATTAAAAAGTGTTGATTTAAATTGGATATATGGAAAAAGTCTTCTACAGCGAGGGTGGTGAGGCACCGGCACAGGATGCCCAGGGATGTGGGGGATGCTCTGTCCCAGCAGACTTTCAAGGCAAGGCTTGATCAGGCCCTGGACAACCTGATGTAGCTGTGGTGTCCCTGTTCAGTGCAGGGGAGCTGGGCTAGATGGCCTTTAAAGGTCACTTCCAACTCTAAGGATTCTGATTCTGTGATGCTGTGAGGGGGGTTACACATTATAAAAAGATTCACAGTTCCTTATGAAAATTATCCACAAGTATGAGGTCTTGGATGAAAAACTGTACTTTTGATTTCAGTCAAACAGTCTTATGCTGGCAAAGCATTTTGAGGTTGGTTGTTACCCAGAAGAATATTGCTTCACATTTCAGATTGCACATTGATTCCTTAGGAGAAAATGTACCGTTTAATACACTTGTAACATCTGATTGATGTGGTGGCATCATTGTAAGTAATTTCATATTATGTAGCATTATATTATATGTTAGAAGCAGCTCTGATTATCCATGCAGATGATTAACTGAAAACAGTAGTTTGCACCTGCTTCAGTATATGTGGGAAAGATTTTTGAATGTTATCTATTTCTGTGGCTGAAATTCTGGTTTCTCATGTCATTTTCATTTTTTTTTTGTTTATTTTCACTTGGCTCTTATGTGGTTTTAGATTGTGGAGTGGATCTTTGAGTACAGAAATCTTACCCCCAAACTTATCTGTCTGTTTTTTAATGTTGTTACACAGAGATTGGAAACATGACTTCAAAAATGGCTGTGAATTCTGATCTCCTGGATAGTACTGTTAATGGAATTCATTCACCAAACCAGTGATGTTTTTCATACGCCTCTTAAGTAGCAGAAACAAATGAGGTTATTATAAATTAAATGATAGCATTGTGGTGGTAGTTCTGCAAATGTGGTCAGTCTAAATTTATTTAAATTTTGTACATTGAAAAGGAGACAACTGCTATTTTGATAAGAAGGTCTGAGTGCTGCATAGTAAAATATTCATGTGAGTTTTGGAACAAAAATTTAACATTCAGTTATTTTTTTTTTCTGGGTTGGAGAAATATGGGGTATTTAAACATGGTTAGGTGTGACATCAACACTTGGCTATTCTGCAAGCAGGGCAGCTCCTCCTCTCCTTCAACTAAAAACAGTTGTTCTCATCTCTGCACGGGTTTAAATTGCTGGACTGAAAAAGACAAGATGATGTGTTAATGTAAATTCTGATAGCATTTTGGCAGTTCTTGTAATCGTAGGCAGCACAGGCTACGTGAATACTCTTTACCTAATTAATTAAAAAATACGTAGAACAAATAACCTGATTATTGACATCAGAATTAGTAGTCTGATTATGCTCTGGTATTTGCTTTATTTCAGAAATTGGTAAAAATTCTCTAAATACATATAAAAGTGGTCTATTTACATACATTAATAATCCTCCATATACACTCCAGAAACAGCAGTTGTTCTATAAGGCTTTTTCCACTCCAGGCTGTGCCAGCTCACATGTCCAACGCCACAAAGCTCTGGCAGTCCCTGGAGGACTCAGTGGCAGTGTAGTAGCAGTGGTTTGAGGTAGTCTTTCACCTTTCTCTTTACGTTTTTTTCCCATGGAAGTCACAGAATGCAGGTAGATATGTAAGTTGCTTGAATTTAGTTTCCTGTGGTTAATAAATGACAGAAGTGAGTTGGAAGTAACATGTGGGTCTGAGACCTAGTTCGCCTGGAGCTAAAGCACACGTGCGTGTCTGCTCTCCTGACTGAGCTTTCGTAATCTCCAGCAAACTCCTGGGCAAATAACACCAAACTCCTGCAACCAAACCCGTTAGACACCATCTGTCAGAGACCTTTGGACATTTTCACATGACTTGTATTCCTCAAGAGCTGCATCTCAGGGCTGTGATCCAGGAGAGAGATCAAAACAATTAGCAACGAGCTTGAGTAAAAATACTTTCAAACTACTTTCTCCTTGTATATTTTCACTTGGGACCATGAGATTAATGCTTTCTGCGATAAAATATTTATTCCTATGAATATTTCATATATGAGTCAGATATGTAATATGGAAAATAATCCTGCATTTTGGATTGATGTAGAAATTAATACATTTTCTTAAACATTTTTTTCCCAGTTGTTTTGCCCTTCTCTGAGTCCTAATTAAATCTGAATGTATTCAGACTCTCTGTTATTCCATAAACTGCTTTCTCTATTTGTTTTTGTCTCCATTTTTCTTAAAATTTTATTTGTTTTACATCTTCTGTCAAAAATTAAACAAGGTGTGCACCTTTGGAATAATTACGAGGACCAACCAAACAATAAAACATTAAAAGTGAAGGAAAGATGCCTTGTTTAGGTGCCATTTTAACGTGGTTGGCTTTGTAGTTTTGTACACGTTTATATTTATTGTCTGAACCTTTGTAATTCTATTTGTAGCACAGTTATGCCCAAGGCACAGTGTAAGGGTGTCGTGCTAAAGTGTCAACAATCACATTTAAGAAGCTTACTTGTAGTAATGCATGCCTAACATAGTCTATGCTGCTTGATTTATATTAGGCTCTAGGGTAAATTTAGGGCTATCTTAAAAGCAATGTACTTTGTTTCTGCTGGATTTTTTTTTTCTTTTTTTGGTGAGCAAACATATTTTCTTTAGATCAAACAGAAAGGTGCATTTGTATTGCTAAGGGGAAAATACCATTCCTCAACAGTTTTAAGCCTACTGTAATAATCACAGCTGAAAACTTGAGGTAAAATGAAAATTAATATGCTGTGTTTGAGATGCTGGTGTATCCTCATGCTGTGCTAAGATATATGTGAAAAATCATCATCGCGTGCAAAAGTGTAAGAAAGACAAGCTTTCTAGAATGAATTTTAATGAGTTCATATTGTCTTTACAGGAGGAAAAGAGCTGAAGATAAAGAGAGAGAAAAATGGAGGACACAGCAGGTAATATCTGCTGTTCTTGAGATGCAAATTCTTAAGAATAGCATGTAATTATTCTTGACCTTTGTGTTCATTCTTTGTTACTAACATTTGAAAAACACTCGTTATCAATAACTGTACTACTAGCAAAATGATTTTATTGGGTATGTTTTATTAAGAGGAGGAGCTGCAGGTGAATTTCCTGCTTGCCAGTGTAGCTGTGCAAGAGAGTAAGGCAGGGAAAATAAATCTTGCTCTTTCCTTGACTGCAATGCAGATCTGGCTCTGGGAGGGGTTTTCAGATCTGCATGGCTCAAGCACATGGTCAGCGTGCAGCCAATAGTTAGCCTGACATCTGGCAGTGGGTCTGCGTGGCTCAAAATGGCTTACTGTGCCTGCTGAACGTGACAACGTCTAACTTCTTGCTCTAAATCGAATTTGCACTCATTCGGACTGTGATTTATATATCAAATGTAGTGCTAGCTGTTTATTTGGTGTATGCAGTAGCTACCCTTACTTCTGTTTTGCCAAGGACTGTCGCTGACAGGTTTTTTTTGGTCCGTTTTATGTTTGTTTTAACAACAGCTACATAAAGGATTCCTTTCCTGCACTAATTCTCACAGCTATGCTTAAGGTGCTAGGACTGTGCTTGCTCAGGGCATACAATATTTCAGCCTGGCTACATGTTGTACTCCATTTTGAATTATTATGTTCTCCAGGAATTCAGATATTTGAAGAGATGTTGAATTGATTTTCCTTTTTTGACAGTTATTTTCTGTTCCTATAGAGAAAATTATTTTTATTTGAGATTTTTAGATTACTGCAATGAAAGAATGTGTACAGTTCTCAGCATATAGATGGCATGAGACATATGTGGATAACGTTAGGTCTTCCAAAAGCTGACCAAATACATTTAAATTCCAAGGCGTAATAGCACACGTGCAACAGTTTGCATTTGGAACTCCAAGTCTTATCTATTTTAAAAAATATTTCTAAAGTCTACATAGTTATTTAAATGTGTTAATAAGAGGATGATAATGTAAGAAGGTTATGCAAGAGATTTGAATGTAAGGTTGACTAGCTAATACATTAAAAAAAGTTATTCATTTTTAAGGCTGTAACTTTAAGTGATGTTGTGTAAGCAAAAGCAATTCACTTTCATTTTAAATGGAATTGGAATTAATTTTAATTGCTGACATTTTGCTTCTGGAGGACTGACAGACAACTGTTATTTGTAGAGTGTCATTTGACTCCTCTGAAAACTATCACTCCTCTGGAAAGGTCCTAAACACATTTAGCGTCTTTCTAACATCAGCAACTATGTTGCAGTTGTTAGCAGGTAAAAGTCTGTATTACCCAGATGTCAGGGGACTTGGTTACAATATCTTGTACCATCTGTAGTTAAGTTGTAGTTTAATTTTGTGGTGTTTAAGAGATTTAAAGAAACCATCTAACAACGTCTCCAAAGTATGCAAAAATTCTGGGTGAAGGGTTTAAAGTTATGAAATCAGATTCTTATCTGATGTGTGTTCTGTGGACTTTATGTTGGCTGAGGCTTAGGCTTACAACCTAAGCAGTCCTAAGTAACTTGTGGATATTACCAGTTTTCATATGTGAGCCCCATTTCAGAGGGGGTGCTCAAAACCTGTAGATACATAGATCAATTTATTTCCCTTCTGGAATGAAGCTGAAGAAGTACTACCATGAGCTCTGTGACTTAGGAGTTAGTAGGTTTGTTCAGCAAAGAAGGCTGTACCATTTCAGACACTAGCTGTGGTTGTACCATGACATTTCCAATGGTGAAAGTTTCTTGTAAATTTTGGCGTCTCTCAGTACATAATATTTTATTTAAAACTCAAGAAATGTGCTTGTAATGTAATTATGGATAACGTTCAGCTGGCTCTCTGTAGAACAATTCTGGTGCTGCCATTTTATCTAAGAATTGAGTACTTGGTGAGCTTCCTGTGCAGTCGTGTGCTAACCCTCCAGTACGCCTGTTGCTTTTATTCTCTCACTGTTTGGAAGTTGGCCATAGGAATAATTAAAGTTGCTTCTGTTCTGTAGTCGTCTGCCCAAACAGAGGGCTTTTCTGGTTGTTTGTTTGTTTGTTTGTTTCTTAAGCTTATCACCCTTCCAAGAGTTTAAGTAGACATGCAATTATACACTACATTCCAGTGGACAAGTGGACTTCTTTGTCAGGCCTGGAGCAGAATTGAGCTGAATTACTTCTCTGTGAAGGGTAAATAGGAAAAGGACTATTTAGTATTAAGTTCAGTTTCACTTGGAGTATGTCCAGACCAGGTGCTGCCAGGTGCTACTGTCTGTTTGATAACTGTCTCATAAACTCAGTTTGTAACATCAGGAATCATGTTTCATTTTTGTCTACCTTACCTATGTTATATTAGTATGCCAGAACAGCATACATTATTAAACACTATGTGTACACCACCAGTGCAGATGTCTCCTCAGACCTTGTTCAGGCCTTCCCGAGATTCTACTGTTCTGCCAAGAGCTCTGTGAATATTGCTGCTTCTGCTGAGGTTCTGCATAGGTCACAATTTAGGTAGGATGGTGAGGAAAGAGGAGGGCATCCGGGCGAGTTTGGGATATCCCCTCTGGGCAGCCTGTTCCAGTGCTCTGTAACTCACAAAGTCAAGAAGGTTTTTCTTATGCTCCTATGGACCTTTTTACATTCCAGTTTGTGTCTGATGCCCCTTATTCTGTTGCTGGGTGCTGCTGAGAAGAGCCTGGTCCCATCCGCTTGGCTCCTGTGATTTTGATATTTATAAGCATGATGATCCCCTCTCGGTTTTCTCTTCTCCAGGTTGAACAGTCTCTGAATACCTTACCTTTCTTTTCAATTTATTTTTTTCGATTTGCTGTTCTTAATAATTGTGTATAGCAGAGGAAGATCTGTTAACAAAAATATATATATGTATATAAAAAGAATGGGCTTGATGAATTTAATAGGGGGATATCACAGAAAGAAACAAGCTTCTCTGTTTTCTTTCCATATGAGTGCTTAATGAATTTCAGACTCCAGACTTTATTACAATTGTATTTACAACTGATAATAATTCAAGTGAAATTAGTCAATTTAGAGCACATGACATAAGAATAACATCAGAATAAACTCTCTGAGTTCATATCACCTATATTTAAATACTCAACAACTTTTCCACAAAAGCTTACATCTGATACACCAGTTTCAGAGCAACAGTATTCCACCATCTGATGGTGTTTTATTTCCAAGTTTTCTTTTGGAGCTCTCAATAGATGTTTTCTATTATTATTACTATTTTTTTTTCTTTTAACTCATGGATGAGCTGCAACCCAGTTCTTTTTGTAGCTTCCCTTTATTTCCAATTTTTGATTGCATCTTCAATTTTTATTACTATGCTCTTTATCTTGGCTTTTTTTAATGTTTTCAAAAATTGTATTAAATTGATGATAGTTTTATTTTTGTACTTACTACATGTATTTTTCTCCATTTTCTACTTTTGATTTTAAATTCAGATGGTCAACATAGCTCTGAGTAAGTTTAATTAGATGATGAAGACTAGTAAATATAAGGAATATGTTTTACTTGCAATACCATATCAGTATTTCGCTCTGCAGTCCGAATCTGGAACTTTAATAATTGCATGCAAATTTATGATCTTTGCAAAGCATTCTGTTCCCATTAGTTCTTGGTAAAGGAGAAGTCCTTTCCAAAATGGACGGGACGACTAAGATCCACATTCCCACTGACTGGTTGATCTAAGCTAACATTTCCGATTCCATAATCATCATGCTAGTATTTTAATGTTTTTGATTAATTGATTGATTGAAAATTGATTAATTTTAATCAATTCCATTGCAGAATTAAATATTCTCAGCCATAAATGCAGTCCTATTTGTTGAGATTGTCTATTAATTCAAAAAGTGACAAAAATTAGTTGATGTCATGGTTTTTTTTACATTACATTCCTAAATCCCATCATGTTTCGCTTCATTTCAACAGTGACTTAATGGACTTGCAAGTTGTTAAGAACACTGTTTGTCTTTTACTAATAAGGGTGATGGTAAATCCTAGTCTGTCAATTTATGTATGGTGTATAGTATTTAAAGCCGTTTCCTCATACTTAGATTTAATAATTAAATAGATTGATCTTATTTGTTTTGGCAAACACCACAGGTATGCTAGATCTATGTTATGCTACATAATTCCTCTGTTTCTTTGGGAAGAGTCAGGTTTGGGAATATCAAGCCCCAAGGCCTTTTGTAAAGTAAAGGGAAGAATTAAGTACTGTTGACTTCATGACAGCATTTGAAAGAATGTTAGTATCTTGAGTATAAACTTTTGCACTTGTAGTACTAAAACTCTCATCTAACTTAGAAGCTGGTTGGATGTGAAGTTGTGAGATAGGTCAATTACTAGACTTTATAAATATACTGGCTCTGAAGAAAGGGTTTCTAAATTCCTGAAATGGGGACAAACCTGGCTTAAGTTAAACGCAACACATTTGTCAAATGAACTTTGGATGGTGACATACACGTTAGTTTTATTCCCAGACAGCTTTGTATACAATTTAAAGCAGTGAGAATTACTGGTATTACGAAGCCTGGTCTAGAGCTGTGAATTACTTTTTTTTTTTTTTTGTCTTCTTCACCATTCCACATATAAATACTGAGAAGCTTGGCATAAAGAACGCAGCCTGAGGCATACCCCATAAAACATACAATGCAATTAAATGAGCAATTTCTACTGGAAATAAAATGGGTATGTTGAGTGGAATATGAATTAAGCCAAGCAGGAACAGAGTCAGACAAGCTTTGATAGTACTCCAGGCTTTTCAAAAGAACCCCCAGGGTCAGAGGTGCCAAATGCAGCTGACGGGTCAAGGCCAATCAGTAAAGAAAGATAACTGCAGTTTGCAATGAAAAGCAGGTCGTTCCAAATTTTGATTAATGCAGTCTCAGTGCTGTGGTGTCCACCTGAGTGGGTTAGCAAAATAAAGACAGATAGCAGTGGATTAACTCTA